TTCTCTCTTCACTGGCACCCCCATAATTCGGATGTTGGTATGCTTGAAGCTGTCCCAGAGGCTCCTTACACTATCTTCATATTTTTGGATTCTTTTTTCTTTCTGCTCTTCCAGTTAGGTGTTTTCTTCTTCCTTGTATTTCAAATCTTTGACTTGATTCTTGGGATCATCTACTTTACTGTCGAATCTCTGTGTATTATTCTTTATTTCAGTCAGTGTATGCTTAATTTCTGACTAGTCTTTTTCCATTTTTTTGGCATTCTCACTAAGATCCTTGAAGGTCTCACTAAGTTCCTCGAAGTTCTCACTAAGTTTCTCGGAGGTTTCTAGAAGATTCTTGGTAACCCTATAACTGGTTTTGAGCTCTATATCAAGTAGTTTGCTTTCTTCCATTGCTTTCATTTGTGACAACATTGCTTTGTCTCTGCATTTTGGCTGCTTCCCTGTGTTTGTTTACCTCCAGATCAATTGGCTGTGAGGACCAGCTGTGTCTACAATGGAAGGGCTGCTGTGCAGGAGACACCCTTATGGGGCAGGACTTACTTCAGTGGGGCTTTGGTGCTCACTGAGTCTGCCCCTTTAGTGTTTCACTTATGGATGTGAAGAGTTGTAATCTGGTATGGTTTCACACTGACCACTGGGTATACTGGCTCTTGGATCTCCAAGGAGGTGCAAAGTCAGCCACTTCCTGGGGTCACCCAGCAGGAGCTATGGAGAGATCTACAGATTCCTCCTCTTTGTATGGGGTTTGGAAGTTCCCCGTTGAGGCCCAACTGTGAAGCAAGGCAGGCTGCTGCAGTGCTGGCCTTTGCCTTCTTTAGATAGCGTTGGGCTCCCTGAACCAGCTGCAGAGAGCTGAGGCTGAGAAAGGACAGGTCATTCATATGCAAAAGCTGCTGCACACAGCTTGGGTAGGGTTGTAAATTGGGTGGGCTGGGGTCTCAGGGAGTCTCCAGGACAGAGCAAACAACAATGGCTGCCAGCTAGTCCTGCACTGGAGAGGTCTGACTGCTGCTGCACGTACCTCTGTCTGGCAGAAAGCTGCCCTGCATTCCTGGCCTGATGCCAGACAGTCCAGTTTCTCCCCGTATGTGTCTGGGTCCCCCAAAGTCTCACCCAGCACTGGAGCTCAGAGCACGTGGGAGCTTGTATCTCCCTCCTGATTAAAAAGCAGCACACCCAGGTGCCAGCCCCTTCCGTACCTCCGCACCTCCACGCCTCCGTACCTCCTACCAGTCTCAATGCTCTCTCTTCTTTATTTTTCTAGTTGTAGTTCTTCCACTCAGCCAGGTTCCCTGCAGTTGTGGATGATAGTTGTTATGTATTTTTGTTGTAATTTTGATATGGTTCTGGGAGGCAGCAAGTACAGGTGTTTACCTATGCTGCCATCCTGATTCTCCTCCAATTATTAGTGACTTTGAGCATTTTTTTCATATGTCTCTTGGCTTTCTGTATGTCCATTGTGGAGAAGTATCTGTTTAGGTCCTTTGCCCAATTTTTAATTGAATTGTTTGCCTTTCTTTGTTAAGCTGTATGAGTTCCCTATATATTTTGTAGATTAACCCCTTATCAGATGTATCATTGGCATATATGTCCTCCCATGTAGTGGGCTCTCTTATTATTTTGCTGATGGTTTCTTTTGCTGTGCTGAAGCTTTTTATTTTGATGTAGTCCCATTTGTTTATTTTATCCTTGGTTTGCATTGTCCGAGGAGATGTATCAGTAAACATATTACTATGAGAGATGTCTGAGATTTTGGTGGCTATGGTTTCTTCTAGGATTTTTATGGTTTCACATCTTTCACTTAAGACTTTTATCCATTTTGAGTTTATTTTTGTGTATGGTGTAAGTTGGTGGTCTATTTTAATTTTTTTGCATGTACCTGTGAATTTTCCCAACACTACTTATTGAAGAAGACTGTCTCTGCTCAAATGTGTGCTCTTGCCTACTTTGCCAAATATCAATTGAACTTAGTGGCTTGGGTCAGTTTCTGGGGTCTTGGTTTGGGTCAGTTTCTGGGGTCTCTGTTCTGTTCCATTGATCTACATGTCTGTTCTTGTGCCAGTACCAAGCTGGTTTGAGTACAGTGGCTTTGTAGTATAACTTGGATAGCTGGTATTGTGAATCCTCCAATTTTATTCTCCTTTCTCAAAATTACTGCAGCTATTTGGGGTCTTTTTTTGGTTCCATATAAATTTTTGGATCTAGATGTATGAAATATACCATTGCTATTTTAATAGGGAATTCATTGAATCTATAGATTGCTTTGGGTAGTATGGACATTTTACTGATGTTTATTCTACCAACCCATGAACATGGTATGCTCTTTCACTTCTTTATATCTTCCTCCATCTCTTTTTTCAATGTCCTGTAGTTTTCCAAGTACAGGTCTTTCACCTTCTT